GCTCTTTCCAAAACTGATTTTTGCTTAAACTAAATATAGAAGAGGCTCTCTTAACCCACCATCTGAATTAATTGACACTCTTCTCTTGGCAAAACATACATGCTGGGAAAGGCAAACTCATGTGTGTAGTCTTTTGACCTCCTCTAGGCTGCATAAGAATGGGCCTTGGGCCTGGAATACTTCCTTACCAAAAAATAAAGAACACCACTTCCTGTACGGAACTTGTCACCTTGTTTGGGAATATCCTTGCCTGTTTCAGGCTCAATGTATGCTCCTCTTCGTTCTGCCTAAGCTTGTGTGTCATTATGGCATGTGGCCAACTCCACCACTATCTGTTCCCTGCGGGGAGATGACAGAGCCCTTCTGCTGCAGCATGAAAGAGGTGCGCCGAGGCCACCTGCCCAGCGTGGCTTCAAGCACAGTGGCCCACGCAAGCCCAGCCAAGAGCAGCCGACTCCACTCCACGCCGCAGATACATGAGAAATAATACATAATACTTGTAAGCCACTGAATCTTGCAATGGTTGGTTAGGTAAAAAGAGCTAACTGATACTAAGTCATTTATACAACACTGTGTTCTGTGGTAAATACCTCTCTACTGAGAGACTATAGCATATGTAAAATATTATCATGTATAAATTTTGCTCTCAAGTAATTTTTAAATTTTGTTCTTATGTAAATTTGATATGAATTAAACTTCATGTTTGTAGTCAGTCATTTTTATATCACTTTAGTCACTTCAGATAAACCCAACTGATATGAAATAATACTGATAGCATCATGTTTAACATTCCACCTCTCTATTAGTAGGCAGGCCATAACTGTCATAAAACTATCATTAGCTCTTATTGTCATAAAAGTTTCAATATTTTAATGTTAATTAAATATTTTCATTTGATTCTTAATCTTCCTTGTGGTCAACAGAGACCACATTATTTGTGAACTAATCAAATTTAAGCGTTGATTATTCTAATTTCTAGATTTTGATGAAGCCTAAAAGACATTACAAACCAGTAAATCCTCATCTGCAAAATATCCAAGACACCAAAGGTGGTAAAACAAAGGTGATTTTCACTGAAAATAATTTATTTCCTTGGGAAAGCTGAAACTATTTCCTTCTACATGCAATAGATACAATAACAGGAAAATAATTTTGACAATTTGGGGATACAGAGAAAGGATATGATACACAAGATATAGTGTTATTCATCAACAAAAATTATATATAATATTTCTACATTAAATAATATATACTTGTGTACATACACACACATAAGCATGGACGGATGGACAAATGGAAGGGGGAAGGGAGGCTAGGATGTACAAAGTGGCAAAAGATCCTTACCCTCACTCCAGTAACCAAAACAAGTTTGGTAAACAAAAAACCATTTTTTAAAAAATATCCATCAGAGAGCTGAGGATGCAAAAAGACCTATACGAACTAAATTCCAGAAGTAAATGAGCCCTTCAGAGGAAAGGAGAGACCCATGGCTGTTCTTATTTCTAGTAGGTTAGAAGGGAGACAAAGAATTGGCCATGGGAGGGGGTAAGGAGAAACCAGCCTAATTTTTACCAGCTGCATGCAGGCTGAAAGGATGGATCAGAATTCAGAGAAGTCCCACTATGAAGCAAGCCTCTTTCTACCTGCTGTTTTTCCCATGGTTTTCAGCAAGTGCTTGAGGTGGTACTCTGAATGTAGAGGGGGAGCAGAGAAGTGGAGAGAAATTCATCTAAGGCACTCTGGGATTTCATGTAATAGAGGCTACTGGTGTCCAGGAGAACAGAGAGACCTTTTTTAAGGGAGTCTAAGCCTTCACAGAGTATACAGCATCCTTCCTCAGGAGGCTTGGGTCAGGCATCAGGAGAAAAAAGTTCTTCAGAGATAAAGAAAGCCAGGGGCAGGACTGAGAACGGAAATTCCCTAGTGGCCCAAAGACCTGACACCTAGATTATAAAGCAGAGATATCTGTCACAGTTTGCAAAGACATGCTTCTGCTGATTGTTAAATCTGCTGGTGGTCAGAACTCAAGCCCTGCTGAAGGGAAAGATCTGACCTTACCCTCAAAAGATTAGTAACAAACTGAATCATACTGAAGCTACAAAAAAGCCTGACCCCAACCCAACCATAGACTGACTCAACCCCCACACCCTCACCAACCTGAAAGAAGGGACATGCTCTTTTCTGAAGGCAAAGGTTATTTACTTCAGGCTTTACTGTTCTTAATACACAATGTGTGGTATATAACCCAAAAATTACAGGCAAAGAAGCAAGAAAGTCAGTCAGAAGTCAATAAAAGCAAATGCAGAGGTGACCCAGATGGATAACTATTTTTTATGTAATTGATGAATATTCTTTAATCACCAGCAGCATATCCTTCACAGGATATATTTAATAAACAGGTAAATAATAGTAGTATTCAATAAGAAGTATAGAAAGTTTATATTTTTTATTTTCTTTTTATAAAAGCATACCAAAATTCTGAGTATTAATTCCACTCCAGATACTAACTAAAGATACTAGAGCTGCAAAATAAATCATAGCTCATCTAACACTTCATGGAACTCACAGGCTATTGGGAAAGACTGATCTGTAAAGAACCATAATCCAATCTAAGAAATGCTATCATAGAAGGGTCAAAAGAGTATTATGGAAAGCACAGAATATGAAGTTGGGAGAGTCACAGATAGCTTCAGAGAGAAAGACACCTAAACTCAGTTTTTTAGAATGAGTGGGATTTCACAGATGGATATGAAAGGGTACAGCAGTAAAAGGATAAGGAAGGACATGGAAGAATAAAAGTATGTGGTAGTTTTAAGATCCAAGAAATAATTCAGGGGTTTTAGACTGAGGTTTCAGACAGGGCTGAGAAATATGCTGGGAGAAAGGAAGAGAGAAAGGAAGGAGATGTGATTAAACAAAATAATCAGAGCCAGAATGAAGCAACCTTTAATACCACATCAAAGATTAGGGAAAGCTTTTAAGCAGGGAAATAATAAAATCATATTCATATTTGTGACAAATATTTCTAGGGCTTACAATACTACATTATAATTATTTATAAATTAGTCTCCAACTGACCAAGAGCAGGGTAAGAAAAGGTGATAGGGATTGATCAACGACTAAGGGAAATACGATTTGACAGATGAGATTAAGAAAATTATCTGATCTTTTTCCTGCAATTGTGATCTTTACTACAAAAATTATTAATACCATTATTACATTTATCAATAACAAAGCTTATTAATGTGGCAACTCTAGTTTGATTTATTTCCTCACAAAGATATGTGCTCCCTTGGTGACTCAGATGGTAAAGAATCTGCCTACAATGCAGAAGACGGGGGTTCAATCNGTTTTTTTTTTTTTTTTTTTTCTCACTCCAGTATTCTTGCCTGCAGAATTCCAAGGACAGAGGAGCCTGGCAGGCTGCAGTCCACGGGATCACAAAGAATCGGACATGACTGAGTGACTAATACTAACAAGAAGATATACATAAAAGTTATTTCTATAATTCCCAAGTAGATTAAGTTTATTAAGAGAACAATGCATAATTTCATTCTGACTTAGAAAACTTAGGAAGAGAAGTGTATCAGTTAGAAATGTGTTAGACTATAAGTAACCTTGAAAAATAAAGGCTTAAGAATGAGGATCATTTACCCTTTCAAATCTAAGGACAGGCAATTAAGGAAGGTTAGTGGCTCAATAAAGCCATCAGAGACCCAGGTACCTTCTCCATTTTTCCACTGTGCCATCTTCAGTATACAGTTTCTGCATTCATTCTCCCAAGAAAGCTGTTGTCCATTCATGTGTTGAATTTATACTTTAGGCAGAAAACAAGGAAAAAGCAAAGTACCAAAGATGCAAGTTAGCTAAGCCTGTACCTTTTAAAAGCTTGTCTATGAATGCTACCAAGTAAATTCTACTGGCACTTCATTTGTAATTATTAGCATAATGTGGCCAGCTTTAGCTAAAAGGGAGTCTAGGGAGGTGAGTCTACTAAGCTAGGGCCAAGGCTATCCTGATCAAAATTCTATTAAAGAAAGAGAAAGATGGATACAGGTAAGCAACAAGCACAGTTTGGCAGAGAACGTAACATAAAATCTTACCCAGCTTTTCCGTTAGGTTGCAATCCAACAACTAAGAGACATAAGCTGCTGAACACCTCTGTGTGCCTTTAAAGGGAGATAAATATTCCTCTTTGGTAAGCAGTTCACGTGTGTTATTAATGTGGGTTTAGGTACATGTCATCTACTTGAAAGAATGTTGCCAGCATAATATAATTTGAAGAATAAACTTAAGATACAGAGAGCAGTTTTGGAAGTTTACCTAAGTTCATTACATACAAAAAGGCTCCTAGATTTATTACAAATGGCTGGCACTTTATCTGTTGCATTTATCAACACCAGTGAAAGTATGCACACTTGTTACAACTCCAAGTAGCAGAAGAACAAACACCTGCACAAATTCAATATTCTAGATGCTTACCAGGAAAGGCAGGGCAAACCAGATGCTACTTCCCTTCCTGACCAAATATTTTCCAAATATTAAGCTATTTTTGTTATTGCAAAGAGGTAACAAAATTCACAGAACTAAGCATTTAACAATTGGCTACTATATTTATGACAGATGGCACATTTACAATTACTAACAGTATTGCTACTGTTTGAATATAAAAACCAGAAAAACTACATAAATTACATGCTCAGTTGCCTTACTTCTAATTTAACTTAAGGGAACAAGAATTAATTTGATCTAACTATTTTAAATATTTGCCAACAGGATTAACTCAATGACGTATGGAAAGATAATACTGTATTCACCATCTTCTACTTCTTATCACTAAACAATGTATCAGCTTGCTTTTCTACTAAAATTGCATAAAATAGATAGGACAGCCAATTTAAACAGTTGTTTGCACATTCAATATTTATAACCTGAATCTTGCATGACTGACTGAAAGCAGTGAGTTAGAAGGTTTAGCTCAGCTCCTGCCTGGAGTGATGGATGGCCTCGAAGAATTTCTTGTTCACTGACCAGATCAATCACATAACAAAATTAAAAAAAAAAAAAAATCAGCCTTAAACTAGATTCCCAACATTTCCATCTGTATGCAAGTGTTACAGGAAGAAATATATCATAAAACACAATGTCAAACTACTTAAAAATAATAAAGATCCACCAAAAATGCTGTAGAATGCAAATACAGAAGACAAGGCAACTGAATGATATTCTACATTTTAACTGAATATTAATTCAAACTTTGTTACATAAACAAACATGTTATATATAACCCAAAAGGTACTATAATTTATAGTGGTATCTTGAAACAGCTTAGACTCGTAAGTAAAAGGGTTTGACAAATCATTGAAAGGGCTGCAATTCTGACAGTATTTACAGTTGATTTTGTTTAATTAAACTAAAAGGCAGTGTTGTGGCAATTGTTATATACTGTGCTGTTTTTAACTATTCCAATGGCTGTCCCAAAAAATGAATGTTAAAGAGTAAACAAACAAGTGATGGTTTAACTTACAGTAATTCATTCATTAATGGTTAACTCCCAAACATCTACAGTGAGGAGGGAATGAGCTGTACTGTATAAGGACCATAGCTGGCAAGGCCCTCCTTAGTGTGTGCTATGAAAGGTTTGACTCGTTTGTGAGAGGCTCCTGTAAGCTTCTTTCCCAGCTCCACATTCAGTGGCGTCAACTTGGTAGCTTGAAAGTGGTCATAGTAGGGAGCATATTTGTACTACAGAGATTTTGTTGCTGTTCAGTCACTCAGTCGTGTCTGACTCTTTGTGACCCCATGGACTGCAGCACACCAGGCTTCCCCTTCCTTCACTAACTCTCAGAGCTTGCTCAGACTCATGTCCATTGAGTCAATGATGCCATCCAATCATTTCATTCTCTGCTGTCCCCTTCTTCTCCTGCCCTCAATCTTTCCCAGCATCCAGAGATTAGCAAACTCTAAACACCAGAGCTTCTCAACATCCTACCTTCACCCTAGAGGTAGATAGTAAATATCTGGCATAACAGAACAGTGAGAACTCATTCCTAGGTTTGGGGTCAGGGAGTAGGCTAAGAGGCTGAAGGAGCTGAGACCTGAAGGGCATAAAGTTTAGGTTGTGAGGAACAGGTGCAGAATAGGCAGGCTCAGACCCCAGATAATCCTCAAGGTACCCTGGGTGTTAGAACTATAGAAATGGCATTTATCACCTTCTATGGCTTTCAGGCATTAGCCTTCTCTTCTTGAGTAAGTTTAACGCCATTAGGAGTAGAAGTGAGAGGAGGAAGAGGAAGAACAGGAGGAGAATGAGGACCAGGAAGAAGGCAAAAAATGAGAAAGAAAAATGAAAAGAAGAAAGTAGTAGAAGGCAAGGAGCCAGAGTAAAGAAAGATGGAGAGAAGAGAGGCAAAGAGAAGTAAAAGAAGGGAAAGAGGAAGGATGAGGAAGAGGAAACAGAGATGGAGGGAAAAGAAAGAAAAAAGAAGAGGAAGAGAGGAAAACAGCAGGAGTAGAAAGGAGGGAGAGTCAGGAGGTGGAGGAAGGAGAGGAGACACTCATGCTTCCTGGGCACAGGCAGAAAAATGTCCCCAAAATGCCCCACATGGAGGTCTCTTGGGGATAACCTGAAGAGATGAGGATGCAGAACTGGGGACACTAACCTTTGTGCTACAGAGTCTGTTTTGCTCTTCAGAGGCCAGAGACTAGGTTTCTCTTTTGCAGCAACAAACAGATGTTCACCATGATTCTATATGCAAGCAGCACCACTGTGCCCAGCTAGGAGGAGATGCTGGGAAGAAGACAGACCCCAGGTTTTGGCCACCGTTTGGGAAGCAGTGGTTTTCAAACTTCAAGCATCACCTGGAGGATTGCTGGGTCGTGCCCCCAGCTTCTATTTCAGTATTTCAGGGGCGGAACCCAGGAATCTGTAGGTCTAACGAACTCCCAGGTTGTTGATGCTGCTGATGTAAAACAGTTATTTAGTAAAACTAAAAAAAAAAAAAAGAAAGAAAAAATTCTGGAAAGGATTACAACCCATATCCTAAAGTGTTATTGGTCAGCATCTTGGCAAGAATTTGAATCAGAGAAATATAGGCTAATAATGAGGGGCAGGAGTCCGGAGAGGGAAGCAGAAAGGCATCAGAGAGCCATTTTCAGCTGGCTGTAACATATATACATGTTTCTTCAGAAGCCAACTCTGCAGTCTCTTTCTGAATCAGCACCTGAAATCTTCTCCACGCCCTCAGGGATAGGTCTTCCAAAACCATTTTTACACCAATGAGCACAACTGAACTGAATAGGAGAGAATGCTTGACCCAAACTAACACACTCACATTCCCTCTCTATGTATTTGAAATTGCCTGGTTAGACTGGAAATGAAGCAGAAACACAGGAAAAGCCAAGATGAAAAAGACAGTGAGTGCTTAAGGTTTTTAGTGCTGGGTGCCATGCCAAGATCCTTACTGCTCTTGGACTTCAGATGACACCCTACATACCTGGCATTTGACACCTCCACTACTATATTTTAATTCACTCAAGTTGGTTTGGTTAACTGAAATGAGTCAAATGAATCTAAAGCTCCTCTCCGTAACTGTTAACAACTACTAAAATAAACCCATGTATTCTCTGGAACTTGGGATATGCATTGTGGACTGTGATACATTCCTTAGTAGCCTATGCCAGGGTTCTACCACCAAGCTGGTGAGAAAATACATAAATAACAACAATAAAAAAAACCCTAATACTCATTTCTTTTTGTCGGGCATTGAGAAAGTTTTATACATACATCTTTCTTACCATTTTTTTAAATTTAAAGCAACACAGTCATTACTATTTGTTACTAGGAATATCACTTGGTATTCTTTATGTCAAAAGTTAACAGAATACCAACCCAAGCTATCTCACTTAATAAATAGAACTTAATAGCTCACATAATTAGAAACCACAAATGTAGGGTATGCTTCAAGGCTGACTGATTTAACAGCTCAAAACAGTCATCAATGACCCAACTTCTGTTTCTCCCTTGCCACCTGGATCAACTTTATCCTCATGGTCACATCATGGGTGCTTGATGGAAATGGTGCTCCTAGTCCAGCATTCTAAACAAGGCTCTGATTGGGCCAGAGAATGTTGGATTCTTCCCCTAAAAGAATAATTGTAGCAAAATTGATGGAATGTGCAAAATGACCTACCAACCAGAAACCACACTATTCCTTTCTCCAGGGGATCTTCCCAACCCAGGGATTGCATCTGGGTCTCCTGCATTGCAAGCAGACTCTCTACTCTCAAATAATTTGGGGGAATTTGTGTATGTACACATATATACTCCCACTTTTATGTATATACACAAAGAAAAAGTAAAAGCAAATGTGGCAGAATATTAACAATTGGTGATTCTGGGAAAAGGGTATAATATGCACTTCTTTATACAACTTGGCTTTACATTTGAAATTATCTCAAAATAAATAGTTTTAAATATTTAAAAATTAATTTCAGATTTCAAGTCCCTATAACTTTTCTCAAAGCATGAGGCAATACTGCTTTGCACTACATACCACTTAAGTTTCATAAGGCAAAAAAGTTGACAATAAATAATCAAGTTTTCTTTTAACTTGTTTAATAGAACTTAGTTGCTTATTCTGGTAGAGGACAATATGTCTTGGTCAAACCCTGCTGCTTCCTTTTCTTCTGGACACAAAACCAGATACACTCTTCAGCTTCCAATACTGTTACGGGTTGTATACGAATTCTGGCAAGAGGAACACGACCTCATATGTGTGATTCTCTAGGCTCTTCCTTGGTCTGCTGACCAGACAGACAGGATCCACTAGAAGACTCCGATGCCCTGGGGCATGGGTCCCTGAACGACTGTTGAGGGGCAGAGCCCCTACTACTGACCTACACTGGACTGCGATATGAACAAGAGATGAATGCGTTAAGTCACTGAGATTTGTAGATTCTTCTAGCAGAAAGCCTACCTAACAAAGCTATGTAACTTATAAAATAGAATAACACAAGGGTGATGCTCCAGGAAAATATACTAAGGATGTCATGTATTTGTTTTCATAAATATACTTTAGCACAGAAGTTCTCAAAGTGTGCTTAAGGGATCTTTGAGGGTCTCTAAGGCTCTTTCAGGGGCTCTGTGAGGCCAAAACTATTTCAAGAGCAATACCAAGATGTTATTTGTCTCTTTCACTCTCTCTCACAAGTATACTGCTTTCCAGAGGTGACATACTGTATTAGTATTATATCATAAGAAAGTGAATGCAGAAGCCAATATAAGAATGTTCCTGTCTTTGATCTAGCCATATATTAAAGAGGTTAGCAAAAGTATAAAACAATGCCACTGTTGACTAAACTTTTTTTTTCTACTTTGCAAAATATAGATATTTTATGTTATAGCTATTTAGAGTTTCTTATGCTAACATGCAATGGCTTATTATTTCTAAATAACACATAGGTTTTAAATGTCTCAGTTTTAATTTCTAATACAGTAAATACTGAGAGATATAACCCGTATAAACAAAAATTCTTTTGAGGTTTTCAGTAACTTTTAAGGGTTTCCCTGGTGGCCCAGATGGTAAAAGCATCTGCTTGCAATGCGGGAGACCCAGGTTTGATCCCTGGATTGGGAAGATCCCCTGGAGAAGGAAAGAATGTAAAGGGGTCCTGAGACCAAAAAAAAGTTTGAGATCCACTGTTTTACAACAAAGTACTAATATCTCTGAGAGTTAGAACACTTTACATAAAATAAACCCATACTGTCAAAATATAATACAGTGAGAGTTCCCAGAGCTCAGTGTCCAGGACACTGAGGTGCTCAACATACAATTGTTATATTAATAAACTGTACAATAGTGATAATATTCACATTTATGAGTTGTGATAACTGAATGAGATGAGGGATGCTTGTGTTTGATTATATACTATCATTGTTCATAATTATTTACTGTCTCTTTTTCACATAGGAGGTATATAACCCCTGCTCTGCTGACTCTAGACATGGCCATATGACTTGCATTGGCCAATGGGCATATGTAGAAGTGACATGAGCCATACATATTTGAGCAGAAGCTTTAAATTAGATTGTGTAGTTCTGCTCAGGTTCCTGCATTTCTGCCTTTGCCTCAAGAACAGCTGTTCCAGACAGGAGCTGTTTGTTCAATCCAGGCTCTGGAATAAGAAGACACCCAGCTGACCTCTAGCTAAATCAGAGCTGCAGCTCACCTGTAGCTCTAAGGCAATGTGAGATAGAAATATATGAAATTGGTATTAACCACCTTACCAAACCTGGCAAATACAATATGAAACAAGCCTAACATATTGTAGATGTTCAATAAACCAAACCATTCTAATTAGTGCTACTGTTTAGCAAGAGAAGCATTAAAGAAATGTGGCTTAGTCCTTGAGTGACTGCAATGAAGCTGAGTCTTCCCTGATTAACTAAGACTATACAGTACTATTTAGGTAACTTCAAAATTCCTGGTAAATGAAATATATCAGCTAGGACAATCATGGCATCTAAGCAGATTTGACTCTAATAAAAATTCTAGCCACTATTCACTCCTAAATACCCCCAGAAGCACTCAGGAATATCTGGAGAGGTAACTGGCAGGCGACTCTGGAAAAAAGGAGGTTCTAAAGTGACTACTAAGGGTCTATACTCAATAGTGCAGTAGGTCTATCAGACCATCTGCCTGCCCTACCCAGGCCCTGTTTTAGGGAATGGGCTCCAGCTTACAGCCTCTGAAGATAAAAACAAAGATGAAGCAGTTGGATGAAACCCAAAGATTGGTTAAGGACCAGTCCTGATTGTTCTTTCAAATTTCTGAACTTGGAGATACACAGACTGAACCTGGTCTGGCAGTGAGGGGTACTGGGATTATAAGGTCACAGAAGGATGTACTAGCAGCTCTATTTCCTCACGTGCACAACAACAAGCTATCAGAAAAGCTGCTTTATAGGATGAAACAGAAGAATGACGCAAACTTACAAACAGAATGAGAGACAACAGAGTAGCTGTCAAAGAGAGAGAAAGAGAAGCTGCTGACAACTATCACCTCCCAAAAGTGCTATAATCAGTTTTTGCTGTTGGGTTCCACATGATCTCTCCACGTTTTTCCAAAACCTATCTATTTGCTTGATATAACTTAAATAGACTTCTGTCCCTAACAATGAAATAATCCTTCAAAGAAGGAGTTGTTTTGCTATTATTTGTTACAACCTTGCTAATCCTGACCCAAACATGGAATCTGACTTATTCCTGGTGATTAATTTTAGAGGGCAAGGTAGGGGGGGAGGGGTAGAAATCTGAATTACATTAACAGAATTAATTTCCTGCAACTTAAAATCCAAAGTAATTGTAGAAACAATGTCATTTTTTAAAACTATCAGAAACTATGCTTATAAAATCACACTATATCTTGACCTTATTCCAACATGAGCACTAAAAAGCAGCAATGATACTAAGAAAAGATGGCAGAGAGTCAGAAGTTGTGAATTTTACTGTTGACTTTGCCTCTAACTTCTAACATGGCTCAGACAGTGAAGAATCTGCCTGCAATGCAGGAGACTCGAGTTTGATCCCTCAGTCAGGAAGATCCCCTGGAGAAGGGAATCGCTACCCACTACAGTATTCTTGCCTGGAGAATTCCATGGACAGAGGAGCCCAGTGGGCTACAGTCCATGGGGTTGCAAAGAGTCACACAACTGAGTGACTTAACACATTCACTTTGCCTCTAAAAACCTTGGGTCCTGAGGAACATTCCTTTTTTGGGGTCTCAGGTT